TCCCCAAGGCTTTGCTCACGGCGCCTTCCCGGCTCGCCGCCCTTCTCTCCCCAGCTGGCTGCCTCGCTTCTTTCCTCGTTCCCGACCCTCATTCCTTCTTCTTTTTTTTTTTTTAAAAAAAACTTTTATTTTAGGATAATTTTCGGTTTTCTGAGAAGTTACAAGCATAGTGCAAACTCCTCCCGCCCTCTCTGCCTCTCTCCCTTCTTTTTCCGTCCTGTCCCCCGATCCTTTCTTCTGTCCTTTCTCTCACTTTGTCTTCACCTTTCTCTTTCAGCTCCTCCACTTCTCGGTCGCTGCTTCCTGTAATTCTGGGCGCCTCTCTCCGCATGTCCCCCTCACCATCCCCTCTCCCGGCCCCAATTCACAGCGTCCCTGGAGCTTGCTGTCCCCGATGCCCACCCCCAAGCCCTCTGCAGCCAGACGGAGGACTGTCTGCCGAGCTCCCCGCGAAAGCACCTCCATTAGGATGTTCCCCGACAACCCGCGGCCCCTTTCCACTCCCTCCTAACTCTCCCCGATCTCCCTCCGAGGCCCGGGCCCGGAGCGAGCAGCGCGCCCCAGACGCGCGCAGTGCCGGGGCTGGAAAGCCGGGCTTCCTCCCGGGGCCGCCTCCCGCCTTCCCTCGCCCCGGGCCGTCCCTGTCGGGTCGCCGACGCGCCTCTAGATCTCGGCTCCAGCTCCCCGCCTTCCTTTCCCCGGGAGCCCGCCGGTGCCTCCCATTCTCCGCGTCCTCACCTGGGTCCTGGGCGGGCAGCGGCTGCTCCCGGTACCCCCCGTACTGCCGGTAGGAGGTCCCGTAGGTATATTCCGACTTGGGCGAGTAGGCGCCCGTGCTCGCGAGCCCGTTGAGGTTGAACTGGGGGTGGTAGGTGTAGGGGTTCACCGTCTGGCCGTAGGGCTGGCCCGAGTAGTAGTCGTGCTGGGGGGCACTGTAGTAGCCCAGGTCGGTGACGGACGACTCGGGCAGCGTGGGCGAGTCCTTGGAGCCCGCATGGCAGCTCAGCGAGCTGGAGATGTCGGTGAGGATGCTGCTGAGCTTGCGATCGAAGGATTCTTTTTAATGTTATGCCATTTAAAAAATCTAAAATTATTATTAATAATTTTCCTTTGAATCATGAATTATGCTGCTTCTTGTTATTTCTTTCAATGTCACTGTTAGTGTTAAAATACCATTCAAGACACCCACTTAAATGACTACGGACCAGCTGGGAGATTTATCCTAATATTGAGCCTTATGATATTGGACCTTCACAATAAACACTTTGGCTTTCACCCTTTATTCTTTTCTTTTTTTATTATATATTTTTATTGAACACACACACCCGCTCCTCGCTCCTCCTCCTGTGGCTTTCTCCCCCAGCCCCGATAAACCCCAGTGTCTCTGAAGGCAGGAGTGGGGGTAGGGTGTCTGTGAAGAGGCCCCAGAATCTGTCAGTGTGTCCCTTTCCCTGGCTGGGCGGGTGGGAGGGGGGCTCAGGTGCGGTGAGGAAGGAGGGGAATGTGCCCATTGGGTGCTTGTGGAGGGAAGTGGTCTAAAGGGATGTGTGTGTTGGGGGGAAGGGGGGGGCCCGCAAGTGACAGGCAGACAAACATGCCCAAATGGGAAAGATCCAGGGCCCATGAAAATGTTTTAATTTCTTTTAAAATCAAAAGAAAAGAAAAAGAATCTAGGTTGAAGAAAATGTTTGAATATATAATATTAATTGCCTTTACAGCAATGCAGTCATAAAAGGTAATTTTAAAACTTTTTTTTTTAATGGAAGAAGGGGTCCATCAGGCAAACGTGCCTTGGGCTTACAAAAGTCATACTTCAGCCCTGGGAGGGTCGGGTTGGAGGGGCGGAGGGAGGCAGGTGTGTGTGTGGAGGTGGGGGCCTACGGGAGGGTGGAGTGCACAGCTATCCGCAGTGATATTAGAGCCGTCTCTGAAACTAGTGTGTGCAGTATTAGAGATCACCCAGGAGCCGGGGACCTGGGGTCCGCATGAAGTTGGGGGACACACAGGCTGGCTCTCTGTGTTTCAATAAGTTTGGGGGCAGAGTCTGTGCATTTGGGGGAGTGTGGGCATTGTTAGAGATCAGGTGTATGGGACAGGTGTACTTGGGGTGTGCAATGTGCGGGTTTCCTGTATTCTTCAGTATGCTGAGGTGTATGTGAGTGCAGGACTGTGTGTGAGCGAAGGTGTGCGTGAGTGTGTGTGTGTGAGTGTGTGAGTGTGTGTTCGTGTGTGAGTGAGTGTGTGTGAGTGTGTGACTGTGTGTGAGCGAAGGTGTGCGTGAGTGTGTGTGTGAGAGTGTGAGTGTGTGTGTGTGCGTAAGTGTGTGAGTGTGTGTGAGCAGTGGGAGTAGGGGCCCAGGGATGGCGTGTCTGTATGTGAATGTGTGGCTGTGTGCAGAGGTGTATAAGACTCTCAGTCCCTTCCCAATACCCAGTACCTGGGAACCAGGATGCTTTTTTGAACCTCGTTCCCAACCCCGAAAGGTCCTAAAGAAGGGGCTCCCCCACCTGGGGACGTCCCCAGATCCTAGTCTTGTTTGGCACACAGGGCCAGCCCTTTAGGTCACCCAACTTGTTCCCAGCGCCTAGCCCATGTCGCCATTCCACCCCCAATTCTGCGCCTGCCTTTCTTTGGGATGAGAAGGAATTCCCACAAATCTCAGTTCCTAGCAGAATATTTGAATCTTCTCAACCACCCCGGGACAGGCAGTGCCAGCGCGCCACCTTGTGGTCACGCCTGGGCTCTGCAGCCTCCCCCAGCCCGGGGAGGGGGTGTCTCTTGTGGACTCTGTCGGGCAGAGAATAGCGCAGCGGGATCTGAGCGCCTTTCCAAACTCAGACTCTCCGGGCAGCGTGCCCGGGGTTCCAAGGGCTTTGAGAGCTGCAGTTGGCAGAGACTGAGGGTCATAGTCCGCGTGCCGAGGGGCAGGGGTGCCCGCCAGGTCTGAGCGGCTCCGGGGAGGCCTCGGCATGGGAAAGGTGGAGGCGGGGGCCAAGAAAGGGGAGCGCTATCTGTCTGTCTATCTCCGCCCCCCCCCAGCGCCTATCGCCCGCCGCTCCGAGCCCGTGGCGGGGCGAGTTGCCACCCGCTCTGGATGCCCTCTGTTCTGTTGCCAAGAGGGTGCCAAGAGAGCCCACGGCGTCGGGGGCAGGAAGGGCACTGGGCAGGCCGGTTCCCCTCCCAGGATGGGAGGCGGGGGGTGGAGAGGGGGAGAGGCGGGCAGGGCCTGCTTTGGAGCCCCAGTTCCCTACAGAGAAGGGGCAGCGTCAGAATGCCCCTTCTCTGGCATTCATTCATTCATCCATCAATTCATTCATTCATTCATTTATTCTTTCAGCAACCTACACGAAGAGGGCCAGGTGATTCAGAGATGGCAGGGTGTCTACCTTCCTCATGAGGTCTTCATAGAAGCTCTCTCCTTCCCCCTCCTCCCTCCCACTCCTACCTGTGGCTCCCGAGTAAAATGAATGAGGGAGCACTGGACTGGGAGTCCAGGGATCATGAAACAGTCGTGATGGTGGTGGTGGGTGACAATTTCTATGCTCCATTTTGCTCTGAAAATCTAAAAGGTCTAGAAACGGACTAAAACGTCAGCAGTAGGGACCTTCGTGAGCAATTAGGTAATGTGAAGTTAACAGCCGGTCCCCCTTGCACTGTGTGCTCTACGACAGGAGGTGCTGTGTCTGTCCATTCACTGCGACCTCCCAGGGACCCAAGGCAGGTCTGGGCACACACAACCTCAGTGCAAATAGATGTGCGTTGAATGAATGAGCGAGACTCCCTAATGCTGGAGAGCAGCTGAACCATCCGGGCTGGGTAGGCTTGCAGGGTTAGGAAAGGGGGGGGGTGTCACGGAGCAGCACTGCCATCCAAGTGCCCTGCCCCGCTCCAAGGCAGGAGCAGGAGCAGATTCCCAGACGAGGCCACGATGGCCTGAAAGGGGCCTGTCAGGCCAGCAATACTGGAGCCACCAGCCGCTGGGCGGGCACCTGCTGCTTCAGGGTGGTGAGGTTCCAGGAGGATGTAGTGGGACCAGTGCCGCCCACTGCATCTTGTCTGGACCAACAAGAAGAGCAGGTGTCAGCCTGGTCGGAATCCTGCCCCTGGTGGCGGGGTGATGCAGGGCAGCCTGTCGGCGGCCTCTGGGCGGCTGGCGGGAGGGAGAAAGGTCGGGGCTGGTCCATTACCCACCCTCTCCCTGGCGTGAGAAAAGGTACCCTGTTGGAGTGAGCTGTTTCCTAGAGGCCAAGTGTCGTGCCACCTGGGCACGGCCCCCATAACTGGACTCACAGAGCGCGGGGGAGGAACTCAGGAGGGAGGACGAACGACGGGCCAGCCCTTGCTCTCTCCGTTTCCTGGGGATCTGGCGCCATCTAGTGGTCAGTGTGAGGAGGCCAGCGGCCAGCTCCACTGGAGGGACCTGGGAAGGGGGCCCATGCAGGGGCCTCACCGTCATACCCAGAAGGACTATAACCTTAACTTATTTGAGGAGCCGCATCAGCACCAAATGTTCACCTTTCATCATGGCCTTGCCTTCCTCTGCAGCTGCCACCCCTCCCTTCTCCCGCCCATCCTTGTCTCGCCAGTGGCTCCTTCCCTTAGGTTTCTCGTCTGTAAACCAACGTGTCCTCTGAGGTCTCTTCAAGCTCTGCTGCTCTATGATTCTAAACTCCAGGACTTCTGTCTCCCAGGGAGAACCCCCTCCACTTTCCTGCCAGCTCCCTTGGAGGTACATCCAGGCTTCCAGGCCTTTGCAGCCTGGCATCCTGCTGGGGGCCTTCGTCCATTCGACACATACTTTCTGAGCCTCTGCTGTGCTGGGTGCGAAGGATGGAGTGATGAGCAAGGCAGACACAATGTGCCCCCCCATGGAGCTCGAGCTCAAAGTGCTCAGATGAGGGTGGCACACACTGCTGTGACAGCCGAAGGGGGCCTCCAACCCTTCACGGAGGCAGGAGGCTATCGCAGCTGAGAACTGAAGGCCATCCTGGACTTGGTAGGAAAAGCAGGGGTGAGGGCCCGGCCGGGTGGCTCAATGGTTGAGCGTGGACCGATGAACCGGGAGGTCATGGTTTGATTCCCGGCCAGGGCACATGCCCGGGTTGCAGGCTTGATCCCTGGTGTGGGGCGTGCAGGAGGCAGCTGATCAATGATTTTCTCTCATCATTAATGTTTCTATCTCTTTTTCCCTCTCCCTTCCTCTCTGAAATCAATAAAAATACATATATTTTTTAAAAAGCGGGGATGAGAGGGAGGAGAGGGTTTCCAGCCACAGGTGAAAGGCTTCTGGGACTGCCTGGGGCATAGCTTGGTTGGGGGGCGGGGGGGGCGGGGGGGACAGGAGTAAAGCTGGAGTGGCCTGGAACCCACCAGCCGGAAAATGGGCTCTGCCATCTGGAGCAAGCATGTCAAACTCAGAGGCTCACACGGGCCACATAAACGAGGCCTTCTACACGGGTCCCTCTAGCTGCTGTGTGAGGATGAACCAGAGGGGACAAGATTGGAGGCCGAGAGGCTTACACACCGCAGAGAAGGCCAGGCAAGAGGGGAACTGGGTGCGGGTTAAGGAGAAGGCAGTGTGTGGGGGGCAGAGGGGGAGTGGATTTGAGAGATAGAAGGTGGTCTGGCGATGGCACTTGGATGTTAGTAGTAAGGAGAGGGGAACAGCGGAGAATGACCCCAACTTCTGACATGGGCAACTGCGTGGAAAGCTGGAACCTGCTCCGAGAGAGAACACTGCGGGGAGAGGGTGCTGGATGGGGAAGATGTGTCCTGTTTTGTTTTCTTAACTTTTCATTCGAGTAGAACATCCATGAAGAGAAGTGAGACATCATCATCAGTGGGTTCGCATGAGCCAAACGCAGCTGTGTGCCTGCACCCGGGGTGAGTATCGGGTTGAGAAACAGTGTTACCAGCACTCAGAGCCCCACCTGCTCCCTCCAGTAACTGCTCCCCAAGGGCAGACGGTCTTAACTCCTGGCTCCGGGGGTTGGTGTCGTGACTTTTGTGAATGAAAGTGGGCGGCATGTGCTCGCTCATGTCTGGCTTCTGTTGCTCATCATCATGTCTGCGACCTTTATCTGTATCGTGGAATATGTTTGTAGGTTGTTCACCTTCAGAGCCATCTATGGGTCCTCCATCATATGAATATCCCACCACTTACTTACCTGTTCTACCATGGATGGGCATTTGGGTAGTTTCCTGTTTGGGGTACCACGGATATTGCTGTCAGCATCCTTGTACATGATTTTGGGCGCACGTACGTATGTGCACACTGCCGTCCGGTGCCTAAGAGTGGGATTGTGGGCCATGGAGTGTGCGTGTGTTCAACTTTAGAAGATACTGCCAAATAGTTCTCCAAAGTGGTTGTGCCAGAAGCCCAATTTTGATAGTGTTTGCGTTCCAGTGTCTTTGAAACATCTGGGAGGAGCTGTCCAGCAGAAGCTGGCTCCGTGGATCTGAAAGATCAGTACAGAAGCTGGGATTGGAGATGTACCGTGGGGGTCAGGGACATCCTGTGGTAAGTGGAGCCATGGGTGTGGGTGAGATGGCCCCGGAAGGGAGGGAGAGAACAGAGGGCCAAGGAGGGTCCCGGGGCAGCACCTGTGAGAGAGCAGCCAGAGAGGAGTGAGGCAGTGCCGAGAGGTGGCCCTGTGTTGGAGAGGGGGCTGGGTGAGTGCTTCAAGAAGGAGGGACGGGCCAGCATGACTCAGGGGTTGAGTGTCAACCTATGAACCAGGAGGTCACGGTTCGATTCCTGGTCAGGCACATGCCTGGTTGTGGGCTAGATTCCCGGTGTGGGCGTGCAGGAGGCAGCCAATGGATGATTCTCTCTCATCATCGATGTTTCTATCTCTCTCCCCCTCTCCCTTCCTCTCTGAAATAAATTTAAAAATATATTTTTTTAAAAGGAGGGAGTATTCAGCAAGGTCAGATCCTGTGTGGACGTGTGGTCTGAGCAGAATGCAGACAGCTGGCTCACTGGATGGCAACTCAAGGAGGCCTTTGGTGGCATGGGGAAGAGCAGGTGAGGCGGAGGGCAAGCTGGGAGGTTGTTTACACTGGCTGAGGGGCGAGTGGGAGGGAGTGGGAGGGGAGCAAAAGGCAGAACAAGTGCAGGCAAGGCCCCAGGGAGCAGAGAGGGCGGTGCCTGGAGGGCATTTGGCATGTTGAGAGGGGTGTGTGTGTGTTTTAAATGGGAGCAAGCCTGTTTAGATGTCAATGACAGCAGCCAGGAGGGAGGGGTTCATCCAGGGGGCCATCCCTCCGTAGGTGGGAGGGGAAGGATCTGGAAGCCGCCCAAGGACTTAGCCTTGCAGCAGATTCTCTCCTTCTGTTGAGTCAGGAGGGGAGATGAGACCATCAACACTGGCTTTCATTGGGCACTCACTGTGTGCCAGGGGCAGCTCGAAACGTTCTGCACAGATGAGTTCATTCACTCCTCACAGCCTATGGCGTGGGCATGCTCCTTTCTGTCTTACAGAAGGGGAAACTGAGGCACAGAGCACATAAGTACACGGTAGACTTGAGATCAGAACCTGGGCGTTCTGTTACCCTCTATGGGGTGGGCAGGTTCGTTTGCAGGTTTGGGGCAGAAGGTAATTTGATCGAGTTGGGTACTGGACACATGGGTGCCCTCTGTGTGTTTGGGATGTTTGAAACAGGTCAGAGTAAATAGAATCGTTCCTGATGTTAGGAGATTCCTGGGTGGGTTCATAAAGCAGGTGTGAAGTTCAGAGCTGCGGAGAGGGGAGCAGGTGGGATCAGAGGTTCAAGGAGAATGGGGAAAGGCAGGCAAGCCTGCTGCCATGGTGACCAGGAAGAGGACGCACCAGGGGACATGGGTGAAGCTCTGGGGCGGACAGCCCTTTCTGTGGTGGAGGACTCTGCGGTGGTAGTGACCCCAGGAGGCATGAGAGGCTATACCAGGTGGTGGGCTGCTCTCCAGTCAGGCTCAGTGGTCAGCTGTGGACAGACAGTTGGGTTGACCAGGGTGGAAGTTTGCTTGGCAGGCGAGGGAGGAACAGACATTAGCAAAGGTTGCTCGTGTGGTTTCTAGGGGAGTGTAAGCCAAGCAGGAAGGAAGGGAGGGAAGAGGGGTGACAGGTGGAGGAGTAGAGGAGAGGTCCAGGCTGAAGGTCCCCAGGGAGGTCAGAGGCAGCCAGCAAGGAGATCATAGAGGGGGTGCCCTTGGGGTCAGAGAGGGGGAGGTTAGAATTTATTCAAAATGTAGGAACACAAAGAAAAGGGGAAATCTTGAATGAAGCCAGAGGGGCGAGAGCCACCTTGTATAGAGAGGAACAAATGTAAGAATTGCATCGGACTCCGCAGAAACCATGCAAGCAGGAACAACGTGAATTTTTTAAAGTATTGAAGAAAAAACAACAACATTGAATTCTGTAGCCAGTGAAATTATCCTTTAAAAGTGAACATAAATAAAACACCTGAGGGAATTTGTTGCTAGTAGACCTGCCTGGGAAAAAATGTTGTTAAAAAGTTCTTCAAAGAGCAGGAAAATGACATAAAAAAACAAAACAAAAAAAACACCTCAGTTCCATATAAAGAAAAGAAAAACATCAGAGAATGAATAAATAAAGGCAAAATAAAATATCTTATTTTTTATTCTTAATTGATCTAATAGAAAACCGTTCATATAATGATAGAACAGCATACTGGATACGTGAATAGCTCATGGATAAGTGAAATAAATTACAGCAAGGCTATAAGGAGGGAGTAGGGGACACTCTGTTACAAGGTACCTGTACTGGCCAGAATGGTGTTATTTGAAAATGACTTTAGGTCAGTTTAAAGATACATCACAACTCTGAGGCAACCACTAAAAGTACTTTAAAAAATGTGTTTTTTTTCTGCAGAAAGTTTTATTGTTTCCATCTGGTCCAATGCAATGGGCTCCAGGGTGGTTAAAAGAATGGCTAGTAGTTCTGGGAGAGGCTCAGGTAAGAGCCAGACACCAGGGGGAGGTCGAGGGGCCCCTCAAAGGCCTCTGGGCTCCACAGGCTCCTAGTCGTGCTGGAGGGGGAGCCTTTGGAAGAGATACTCGCCCAGCCCAGCCTGGGGCCGGCAGCCTGCAGAGGTGAGTCAGGTGTCGCCCATCTTCTTGATGAGCA